GGGCTGACTGCTTCAGCAGCTCCCTGGATGCACCTCCATCAGCATCTTCATTTGCCTGATCCTCCATTTCCAGAGCCTCATATCTGTTCTGTAAGGGTTCCTGGGAAGGTAGGGGAAGCCTGGAAGGGAGTCCCCTGTTGCCCCAGGCTGCCCATAGAATCAAGACACAATATTCACAGAGAAATCAGAAATGTTTGTTTATCTGGCTCCGATGCCTTTCACGCTTTGGCAGAGATCACGGGTATTCCGAGCAGCCTAATCAGAGGAAACGATTGTATGAGGAGCTCCCTCATAGTGCTGGTTGCAGTACAAAGGTCCACAAAAGATCAGCAGCCACTGGGTCACCAGAACAAAGAGCAAGGAAGGACTCAAGTCTCTTTTAGTCTGTTCCAGATCCATCTTCAGACCATGGCTGCTCTTTGTACCCAGTAACACCAGCCAGGCCTCTTCCTAGAAAAACACTCCCAGTTCATGTTATCTCAGGTCCCTCTGCAGGAGATTCACAAGATCCAGCACTTCTGGGAGATTTTTTTTGGATGCAGCTGTCCCTTTCCTCCCCTCTGTACAGCAGTCTGCTATTGCTGCTGCCGTGGCAGAAGGATTTGCAGTTTGTGGAATTGAAATGTGGGATTTGAGGGAGTAGAGGGAAAACAAAGAGAAAAGCCAGAGAGTGGAGCGGGATGATGTTTTCAGGTAGATTTTCTCCATTGCTCCATCCATTCCTGTTCCCTCTTCTCCTTGCTCCGAAAATGGATGGTCACCCCTGTCAGCTCCACTGCTGAGACTCAGGGCTCCCAGACTCCCTCCCATCAGCTTTTTAAAATGACCACTTGTGCCTTACTTTCACTTTCACTTACCAGCGTTTCTGCTCCTTTCAGGGGTTTGCCACTCACCAAGTAGCCCCAACTAGAGAGAAAAAGAGGTGAAACATAAAAAAGCAGACAAATATTTTACTGGCAAGACAGATAGTGTCCTTCACCTTTTGCTGAGGATTTTGCTATCTGATCTTGTGCAACTGAGAGATACTATAGAAACTGGCTTTTTGTATCTCCAGAGGAACAGCTTCGTGCAGAGAAAAATTATATACATAATAACCTCAAGCCACATTTTCTCTTACACCCTTCTTCCTCACATGAAAGAAAGGATGAATTAATTCAGTTTATGGTATGACTAATGGCAAGCAGTTATCCTTCAAGCCAAGACCATAGACCATAAAATGCCCAAGTTCCTCCCTCCCAGCTCCACGACACCCCAGGAAAGCTGTCGGAGCCTGGTGTGCGCCACCTCCCCGGCTCCCCTGCCCACAGTGCTGCCACGAGCCTGCCCAGCCACCACCCCCAGAGCTGAGGGCATCAGCCATGTGCCCTCCAGTTGGACGAGCCCTCTGAACCCTTCCTCCCCCTGGGAAAGGTTGCAGTAAAACATTCAGAAATAAAATAACACTAGCCTGTTTGAGCTTCTTGCAAACTTCCCAGCTGCACGGATGTACCTCACTGTCTCTCTCGGCGTTTCTCTCCGCGGGACGTCATGGGTGCCTCCCTGCTGGCCTCTGACCCTTAGGAAGCAGAGCTGAGTAATGCTTCCTTCCAGCTGTTGCGCCATACACATGCGTATCTAGCAGGCACAAGTAGAGCAGCCAGGCACAGCTGATGTTTTTGACAAGATGCACCAGTGAATTCAACATCCCTTCTGAACCGGTGCAGTTTATCCCTACTGCTTGGTTCCTGTCGTCACACACCAGCACTCACCTTGAGCTGATGCCTCCCATCCTTTCAGTGGCTGGGGGGATTCGGGACCTTTTTCATTTTGAGATTCCT